CTAATAATTATGCATATTAAAATCGTATTACACGACTCGAAAAACGAACCTTACGATTCCGCTTGCCAAAACTCATTCAACGAAAGTTGTGAATTTGAAATCTTCTTCCAACTTACATCTTACATCGAACAGATAATTGAACAAAAAAAAAATTCGTAGAATAGAAATTTTACGTTTCCATTAGATTCATTTTTTCCAACGAATCGAGAAAGAATTTTAAATTTACATTCTCTCCGTAAGTATATCCGCGATTCTTGAAATAGATCTTTACGGGGAAAAGGGCAAATTTTATATCAATTTGACGATTCGAGGATTCGTTTTATCCCCTTTTATCCTCAAATCAAATTTCATTCTCTTCCCTCCGTCCCCGAATTAAAAAGCATTTGTTCGATTCGTCGTCCCTACAGCTATAATATAGTATACACGTAGAAAAATTCTCGTATCCTAATAAATAAAGCTTGATAAAAGCTTATGACGCAACGCAATAATACAATTGCGTTCGTATAACGAAACGCTATTCCCGTTGGTTGGAAAAACACGATCCATTACGGGGAATTTGGTAATATAATATAAATACGGTATGGTCAAATATGTTAACAAAATACATTACGCGTTATAAATTTTCAGGATCGCGGGTCGCGCGACGACGAGAAAACACGAATACCAAAAAGCCAATAATGGAGTAATCATTGGGGGGATTTATGGTCGTCGAGCGTCCTCCCGTGTAAACGACGGCCCGTCCAAAACCGTAATCAGTTTTTGCATTATCCCGCGATACACGCGTTACTATGCCAACATTGTTTTTCAAATAAATCTTCGCCGATTGTTTCCCATTGCGGAAAAACCAGTTTATAATAATCTTTCCCGCTAATTTCATGCCCGCTTTTCACGAAATCGAATTTAAACTTCGTTGAAAATTGACGCAAAACGGCTGATCCAAATCTCTTCTTTCAAACTCGAGCGAAAAAGTAAAACGAAAAATCTTGCGTTTCAAATCAAAGGGAAAAGATTGAATCGGGATAAATCGTTACTGGAAAAAGAGACGCGAAGAAAACATGGTTGGCTAGGTTATCATTCAACTTTGATTTCTTTCCAGATCTTTTTGTCTCGAATCCTTTCACCCCCAACTTCGGTAGACGAAAGTTCAATGTTCGAAAGGGAAATGAAATTCTCCGCGTTAAGAAAATAGCCGACAAGTTTCGCGATGGATCGCGTGATGTTGTTTACTCGATTACCGAGTAATTTCCTTCTCGATCCGTGTCGCCCTATTTTTCTTTTTTCCATTTCGACCGTGACACAGATCTTCAAATAACACTTCTCTTCGATTCGAAGAAAGAGAGAAGACGATCGTTCGCAACTTCTTCGGAAACCTTCTTCTCCATCCTCTTCGGAGAGAGCCCGGAAGTTTGCACTCTGGAAACGGTTATAAATACCCGAGTTGCATCCGACGAGACGAAATTCGATAAAGTAGTTCGACCGATTCGTACGTACCACGGCCGTGGAGCAAAAAGTTAGGGGAACGTGACCAATTGGCGTGCTTAAACGCACGTGCGGAGCAACGCAAACATCAGGCGATTGCGAATGGTACGTGGACGACGCGGCAGGTACCGTTGCGGTGTTGGCCAAGAAATCGAATACGCGGTGTATCGCGATATAAATTTGGAACCGAGAATTGTGAACCGTGCCAAGGAGGGAGGGGGAAAAGGGTGGGTGGCGCTGGTACCAGACACCGTTGAAAAAGATTTCTGACCGTCCCGATTCGCGTTTAGAAACCTCTCGACCGGATAATCGCGCAAGAATTGCGCTCCGCTACAGAAATAAAACCGACTTTGCCTTCCTTCCGATTCGCTTCTTTTCCATATCCGTATCCATTCCGTATATCGCGATTCTTTTTTTTTCTTCTTCTTCTTCTTTTTATTATCATTATTGCTATTATTATTTATTAACGGTGTTAAAGTTTCTACATTTTCAACTGTGCCATTTACAAATTTACAAGTCTTTAACCGGAGAGGTAGTCCAAAGTTTTATAGAATAAAGTAGCTTATGTATCGCTTTTAAATGCAAAGCGAGCTTTTTCCCTAATTTATGAAGGAAGAAACTTCGCTCGCGAAACTATTGTAGTATTCATAACCTCGGCTAAAATTTTCGTAATAGCTTTCTAATATATTCTACCGACCCTTCGAACATCGTTTTATCTTTCCAACTTGAAAGGACAGCATTATGATCAATCTCTCGTATAAAATTTCCATCGAGAGAAGAGTGCAATATCGAAATCCATGGATCTCTTTACCACTATATTTTCGAGAAAGTCTTCCACGATTCCACTTTACTCTAGAAACTAGACGTTAACGAGACTATCGACTTTTCGAATTTAACATTCGATACCATCGAAAACCGTATTCTTCCAAGAATTATCGTATTATTATCGTATCGCTTCGAGACCACCATCAAATACGCGCCCATCTTGTGTCCGAAACGACAGAAAATTCTGAAATTCATCCTATCTTTTTCTTCCGAAATACACGATTCTCGAATTCTCTTTTTTCCTTCTTCCCAACAGATTTTGGGAACGGTTCTAACTGGATCGAAAGCATGCGGAGAAATTGGAAAATGAAGGTGTGCTCATACCGGAATTGGGCTGGCCGTTGCTGTTGGGCCTGGCGGAAGGTGCACCGTCCCTGGCCTCCACCTCCAACGCGTACGCTCCTTGCTTCTCGCGATCGAACATCACCTTCGTGAAGATCTCTCCGGTCTCCCGATTGATCTCGAAGTAATCCTTCCCTTCGTTCCTGTCGCTGTCCACCACGTAATAAGTGACCTGAAATCAGACGACACACCGTTTCGAACCATAATCATTAACTTATTTCCTTTCCTTCTGATAACGCGTTGTCATCTCCAACATATAAATAAATGATTCTTTCCTCTCGTTTCTACGAAGTTTTTTATTCGCGTGCATACGCGATTTCTAGGATTGCAAACGAAATTAAGTGGTGGACGGATGGTGAAAATAGTTAGAGTTATACGATTTATCAAGATTGAGAAGAGTCTTATATGATTTGTCACAGGTGGACGTACGTGAGGGGAATATACGCGAACGTGTTCAACGTGTGAAATTGTATAATTTCGAAATTGTTGGAGGGCAAGGAAGAAAAAATTCTTATTCTTATTCTTCCTCCAAACCTATGTAAAATGTAAAAGTAACGAGTGCGGGAAGGGAATATATCCACAGGGATTATCCATATTTTATCCATCTGAAAATATCGATAAAAATATTCTCAAAGTGGAAACGAACGTTATAATCATAATTTATAATCATCCATGTTTCCAATAAATTCAATTTCTAAATTGATAATTTTCAAGTAAAACCGTATTTCTGTATTCCGCGCACGTTGTTTCGCACAGCGTGTTCCTTTTAATTTCGAAACGAGAAGTAACTTTGAATATCTCTCGGAGAAAAAAGAAAGAAAGAAAAGAACGAATCCATCGTTTTCTACAGACCTTCGTAGAGTTTAAACAAAAATACGTCGAAGAACGTAGGAGACGAGAGAGAACAAGACGAAAATAAAAAAAGAAGCGAGAGAAAACTAATGTTGAGAATGAAGAAATCAGTGTGTTTGCACGAGTGCCAGATCGATAAAAACAAATGAAAAATTACAGTCATTGATTCTCCTCGTACGTTTTATCGAAGAAAGAGAGAGAGAGAGACGAAAGAGAGATTTCAAAGATTGAAATATAGGAAGTAAAGAAAAAAATTGAAAGAGATGAAGCAATGATAATATCGGTACAAGTATCAATTAGCCTGATTAAGAGGGAGATTTCAATTAATCATGTACGTAAATGATGAAATTAATTATTATATTTGTGCACGAAAAGTTTGAACGGATAATAATCCTATTTATCCATGATCGAATGCGCAATCATGGATTATATTTTAATCATCGAATATTTTTCCCACGAAATAAGAAAGTTTTCGAAAAAAATATTCCATAACAATTTTACAAGCTGATTCTTGGATAAGCTGTTTCTTGAACACAATTACAATTGATATCATGTATGTTTCATCGATATTTACGATAGAAATTTTGACAAAATTTAAAATTGGAAAAAATTAACCAGCCGTAACCAGCCAAAATGTGCGTAAATACCGTTAAATGTAAAACAGAAAATCCACTTTTTATTATATACGATTTGTCAAAGAGAATTTAAAAAAAAAAAAAAAACAACGATAAATTATAACATTTTGGGGGAGGGAAATTTTCCTAATTACGGAAAAACGAACGAATGTGGATTAGTCGTACACATCTATGCATTTGAGCGAGCAACATTTGCGCGCAACACGTTTTACTACGAAACGAAACAGCGCAACATTTTAAATTATAGCACGGCGGGGTTCGCGCGATTAAATTTAATTATGGTATTTTGCAGTATAACGACGTTACACGACGAAACAAAGTTACACGGTATTTCCATCACAACCGCGACTTCGACAAACACAATTTCACTGCGTGAAATTAACAAAGTTTCGGTCGGAATAATATATCCGTTTACTCGCGATCGTCGCCATAATATTTATTAGAAAGAACTCGACTACTACGTTGTTCTGATATAGCGTTCCTCGTGATATACAAGAAGGGGAGGGGGGAAGAAGAAGAAAAAAAAAAAGAAAAGAGAAAAATCGAGATCGCATCATTTGTAAGAAAATATCAAAGAGACAATCGTGTACTAAAAAAAAAAAGAATATTACAAATCAAAGGATAAATGCGCTGTATTTCTCGCATAAAATTTTCTACGAGCATCGATCATTCCGGTTTGAATAACAATTTTTTATTACTCTATTATTGTAATTAAAGCAGCGTTGCCAAAAGTAAAATACGATTCCTTCCGAACTTCCTTCGAAATGATGACATTGAATGATCGATCCTCGATACCTTCTTCCTCGCCATTTCATGCATTTTGTATGAATATAAATTTCCATCCTCCCTTTATATTTCGCTTCTCTTTTCATAAAACAATCCGATTCTTTGAAATAAATTTACTACGCGTGATTACAAAAAAAAAGAAAAACAATCTCAACAAATCAAAATTTATTTATTGTTTTTCGAATGTTGCTATCTCGTTATCTCGTACTCTTGAAAAAGGAAGCGTCCTCAGCTTTCAAAGGGGAGGATCTTGATTAAAAATCGATCGTTATTTTTTTCTACTTACATCGTATTTGAAAGACGAGAGCGAAATTGCGACGAATCAATTTCCGAAATCCGAAACGCGTCCCGTCCGTATCGAACGACGCAGATCGACTAATACGACACGTTCGAAGGAAAGATTTGTTTTGAATTTGTACGCGTCCTTTTCTACGCGTTCCTCTCCCTCTCCAGTTTATTCAACCGAGAGGCAAATTACAAACCTAAGGGTATTTCGCTACTCGATCGAATGTTTATGCTGGCTAACAATGCTCGAGGACAGTGGTCATGGTATATGGTCAATTTTGTTGTTTAACGTCGTTCTTGCACGCTTTCGAACAAACGTTTGCACCGCGATAAATTTTTCGATTAAAAAATAGATAAATCGTTCGGTGGAAAAATAAAGATGGATTTTTTAAAATTTTACAAATAAACGACGTACGATTAATTTTTTATAAAAAAAAAAAGAGAGAGAATTTTTAAAATATCATTTTATTCTTCATATCCTATTTTATTAATCAATCGTATGGATTTTTAATGTAAATTTTTTTTCTAATTGTTATGAATTTTTTAAAAAAAAAAAATATATATATATATATAACACACACACACTTTGAATAGAAATTTATTTCTATCGATTTTATTTAAAAAACAAATTATAAACATAACTTCTGGTGTGACGAACAAAAACGCTTTCCCTTTAAAACGCTTTTCGAATTCTCTCGATAAAATTTCCCGAAATATCGTCGGGTAAAAAAAAGAGAGAAAAAAAAGGATAATTTTTAATCGTTTCTATCTTACTCCAACGTTTCACTCGTATCTCGTTTCATCGACTCGAGATCCCAAAGTTTAGACAAGTCGCAGACGCGACTCCTGGAACAGGGTAATACGTGTATCCAGGAAAAAAGTAGGTTATCGAGTTTCAACGCCTAAAATCTACTTTGAGGTATCCTTGATATCCCGGTGACTGATCGAGATATCGATATAAAAAAAAAAAAAATAATTTCAATGGCACGATTTTCCTTCTTTTCATTTCTTGAATGGATTTTCATGATACAACTTTTACATAAGTAAAAAGTCGTGGCATAAAACACGTGATGTAAAGATTTAAAATTTCTTTAATTTCACGTTAATTTCTATTTGTACGTAATACGAATGATATAACAAAATTCGCAAAAAAAAGGCATAAACTGCATAAATATTACGGGAATAATGTAAAAATCCAATAAATTATCTTCTTCCAAATAATCGTAAAGAAATTAATAATTTTGAAAGTAATCCTATATCCGAGTAATTAATGCATTAACGATTGAATATTGTATACAGATTCGCGATACAAAGCGTGCAACAGACAAAGCGTGTAATTAAACATAATCCGAAAACTGGCCATCGAAGTTTGTTAATAATTGAATGAAATCGATTTGGTGACCGAAATTTGCTGATGAACGTAAAATTAAAATTAACTTTCTCATATATTGTTGTTCTGTAAAATATTGTTTCTATTCCGTAGAATATGTGAAAAAAAAAAAAAAGAAATTGGAAACAAAAGATTTAAAAAAAGAAAGGAAATAAAATTCTAGTTTATCGCATGAAAATTTCGCTAGGAATTTAAAAGATTAAATTTTTTTTTTACAAAAAAAAAAAAAAAAAAAAAAAAAAAATTT